TGCCGGGGCTCTCAGCTCTCGGAATAGCTCAGCTCATTTCCCTCCGGTTCTGCCCCGCTGGCTCCGGGCCCTTGGGAGCCGCCTCGGGGCCGGGAGGAGCCACGGCCACGGCCCTGGTGGGCACACCGGGACCCCTGCCCGGCAGGGAGGGCCCGAGCGGGCATTTTCCTTCTGACTTCATCGCCTGAGCTCCTGCACCCGGCCCTCATGGGCCAGAGAGGGAGGAGGAGGAGGAGGAGGAGGATGAGGAGGAGGAGGAGGAGGAGGAGGAGGAGGAGGATGGGGAGGATGAGGATGGGGAGGGATGCACCAGCAGAGCTTCACGCTCGCCCTGCGTGCGCAGGCCCTGCCAGGTGCCACCTCCCAGCCCCTGTGACACGCTGTGCCACCTCCCCAGCCCTGTGCCAAGGCTCCACCGAGCCCTGGAGATCCCTCCCTCCACCCAGACCTCTGCGAGAGCTGCTGGGGAGCAGAGGCCAGCCCGAGGCGCGGGCAAGCAGCGCAGGGCGGCCGGGCCGGGAGCCGGCGGGGATGCTCGGGCTCCCGGGGCACAGCTCCAGCCGCCGCCCCGCGGGGCTGGCATCGCCCCGGCCCGGCCCGGCGCGGCCCGGCGCGGCGCTGACCTGCAGGTAGTTGCTGTGGCAGTAGTCGGCCACCCGCAGCAGGTTGCCGTGCTGCTCCCGCAGCCGCTGCCGGCCCGCGGGGATGTCGCTCAGCCGCAGCCGCTCCAGCTCCGACATCGCGCCGGGCTCCGCTGCCGCTTCCTCCCCGGGGCCGCCTTTTGAAGCCGCTGCCGGCGCTGACGCAGGGCCCGCGGGCGCCGCGGTGTCCCCGTGCCCCCGGGACACCCCGCCCCGCCGGGGACGAGCGGGGCCGCGGCCGTGGGGACAGCAGCCCCGGGGCGCGGCGGGGACGGCAGCGGGGAGGGCGGAGAGGCACCGGGAACCGGGGCTGCAGGGCGGGAGTGACCCCGAAAGGGTCCCGACACCAGAGGGATGCCGGCCCCTAAAGGATCCTGATCCCAGAGGGATCCTGATCCCAAAAGGATCCTGACCCCAGAGGGATCCTGATCCCAGAGGGATCCTGATCCCAAAAGGATCCTGACCCCAGAAGGATCCAGACCCCAAAAGGACCCAGACCCCAAAAGGACACAGACCCCAAAAGGATCCCGACTTCAGAAGGATCCTGATCCCAGAAGAATCCAGACTCCAAAAGGATCCCGACTTCAGAAGGATCCCAACCTCAGAAGGACCCTGACCCCAGAAGGATCCAGATCCCAGAAGGATCCAGACTCCAAAAGGATCCAGACCCCAAAAGGATCCTGACCCCAGAAGGATCCAGAACCCAAAAGGATCCTGACCCCAGAGGGATCCTGATCCCAGAGGAATCCTGATCCCAAAAGGATCCAGACCCCAAAAGGATCCTGATCCCAGAGGAATCCTGATCCCAAAAGGATCCTGACCCCAAAAGGATCCTGATCCCAGAGGGATCCTGATCCCAAAAGGATCCTGACCCCAGAAGGATCCAGACCCCAAAAGGACCCAGACCCCAAAAAGATCCAGACCCCAAAAGGATCCCGACTTCAGAAGGATCCAGACTCCAAAAGGATCCCGACTTCAGAAGGATCCTGATCCCAGAAGAATCCAGACCCCAAAAGGATCCTGACTTCAGAAGAATCCCAACCTCAGAAGGACCCTGACCCCAGAAGGACCCAGATCCCAGAGGGATCCAGACCCCAAAAGGATCCCGACCCCAGAAGGATCCCGACCCCAGAGGGATCCAGACCCCAAAAGGATCCCGACCCCAGAAGGATCCTGACCCCAGAGGGATCCAGACCTCAAAAGGACCCCGACCCCAGAAGGATCCCGACCCCCAAAGGACCCCGACCCTAACACCATCCCGGCCCCGGCCCTGCCACCTGTGCCCACCAGCCAGGAGCCAGCGCCGCCCTCCCGGGGCTGGGGCACATCCAGGACTGCTCGGAGCTCTCAGGAGCTCTCGCTGCCCTTGGCTGCGCGCCTCGCCCGCCCGGTGAGGGCAGAGGGAAGGGAAAGGAAGGGCAGGGAATGTTCCTGGATGCCGGGACGCTCCCGGTGCCCCTCCCGGGACAGCCTCTCCCGGCGCTCCGGTGACCCCCGAGGTGCCCGGCCCCCATGGCTGGCGACAGCGCGTCCTTCGCTCGGGACGTTTCACATCCCCGCAGGAAATTCCCACTTCCCCGGGGCTCGGAGAGCCCCTCCACCTCTCCTCTGCTCCTGCTCCTCCCCCAGGTGCTCCCCGGGAGCCTCCCGGGCCGTGTCCCCAGCGCTGGGCCGGGCGCTTCCTGAGCCCATCCCGAGGGAAATGATGGAATTCCTGCTCCTCGTGTCCCGGCACCGCTCCGAGCGGCCCCGGTGCCGCTCCCCGTGCCCCGGCACCGCTCCCCGTGCCCCGGCACCGCTCCCCGAGCCCCGGCACCGCTCCCCGAGCCCCGGCACCGCTCCCCGAGCCCCGGCACCGCTCCCCGAGCCCCGGCACCTCTCCCCGTGCCCCGGCACCGCTCCCCGAGCCCCGGTGCCGCACCGAGCTGCCCCGGCACCGCTCCCCGAGCCCCGGCACCTCTCCCCGTGCCCCGGCACCGCTCCCCGAGCCCTGGCACCGCTCCCCGAGCCCCGGCACCGCTCCCCGAGCCCCGGCACCGCTCGGAGCCACCTCGGCCCGGGACCCCTCCCGACCCGGGGGAAGCAGCCGGGACTCCCGGGGGTCAGTGCCGGGGTCAGTGCCGGGGTCAGTGCTGGGGTCACTCCTGGGGTCAGTGGTGGGGTCAGTGCTGGGGTCAGTGCCGGGGTTAGTGCCGGGGTCAGTGCAGGGGTCAGTGGTGGGGTCAGTGCCGGGGTCACTCCTGGGGTCAGTGGTGGGGTCAGTGGTGGGGTCAGTGGTGGGGTCACTCCTGGGGTCACTCCCAGCAGTCACTCCTGGGGATCTTTTCCAGGGCTCATTTCCAACAGTCAATCCCAGTGGTCACTCCCAGTGGTCACCCCTGACACTTCAGGCAGGATCCGGCCACTCCCCGGGCTCGGCCCCTCCCCGGGCTCGGACACTGCAAAGGCTCGGACACTCCCCGGGCTCGGACACTGCCCGGGCTCGGCCACTCCCCAGGCTCGGACACTGCCCAGTCTCGGACACTGCCCAGTCTCGGACACTGCCCAGTCTCGGACACTCCCCGGGCTCGGACACTGCAAAGGCTCGGACACTCCCCGGGCTCGGACACTGCCCGGGCTCGGACACTGCCCGGGCTCGGACACTGCCCGGGCTCGGCCCCTCCCCGGGCTCGGACACTGCCCAGGCTCGGACACTGCCCGGGCTCGGACACTGCCCGGGCTCGGACACTGCCCGGGCTCGGACACTGCCCAGGCTCGGCCCCTCCCCGGGCTCGGACACTCCCCGGGCTCGGACACTGCCCGGGCTCGGACACTGCCCGGGCTCGGACACTGCCCGGGCTCGGACACTGCCCAGGCTCGGACACTGCCCGGGCTCGGACACTCCCCGGGCTCGGACACTGCCCAGGCTCGGACACTGCCCGGGCTCGGACACTGCCCAGGCTCGGACACTGCCCGGGCTCGGACACTCCCCGGGCTCGGACACTGCCCACGCTCGGACACTCCCCGGGCTCGGACACTGCCCGGGCTCGGACACTCCCCGGGCTCGGACACTCCCCGGGCTCGGCCCCTCCCCACGCTCGGACACTGCCCAGGCTCGGACACTGCCCGGGCTCGGACACTCCCCACGCTCGGACACTCCTCGGGCTCGGACACTCCCCGGGCTCGGACACTCCCCACGCTCGGACACTCCTCGGGCTCGGACACTCCCCAGGCTCGGACACTCCCCACGCTCGGACACTGCCCGGGCTCGGACACTCCCCGGGCTCGGACACTGCCCAGTGCAGGGCCGGGGTCTCCCGGGGTCTCCCGGGCTGTCCCGGCCGGACCCCCCCACCCTCCCTGCCCGGCCCGGCCCTCCCCGGCCCGATTAGGCCGGGCTTTGGGGCTAATTCCCAACACCTGACCGGCTTAGGCTGCTGAGCCCATTATCAGCTTAGCAGCAAAGACATCTGCTGCTCGGGGGCAGCGCCGGCCCGCAGCCTCTGCGCTGCCTCCATGGGGCTCTGAGCGGCCCCGGCGCCCCGGTGAGTGCCCCGGGGCACCGGGAGCCGCTTCCCCCGCTTCTGGGAGCTCCCGGGGCTGCCGGTGTCCCCTGGGATGTCTGGGCGCGTTCTTTTTTTTGGGAAAAAAGATTTGGGTTTCCCCAGCCTCCACACGCCAAAAACTCTCAGGGCAGCGCAAATAACGGAGCTCAGGGCGATGGAGGAGCCGTGCTGGGAAAAGCTGGGGGAATGAAAGCTGAGATGTTTTATTCCTTCAAAAAGCTGGGAGGATGTTCCTAGGCAGTGGTCAGGGCTGCTGGGGGGTCACAATCCACTGGCACACAGCAGTGATCCCAAAAATCAATGACCCAAATAATGCCTCAGTTCCAGGGCACGATGGCTCAGGACATGACCGAGAAGGAGCTGCTGAAGATGGAGCTGGACCAGCTGAAGAAGGAGGTGAAGAATGAGAGGCAGATGGTGAGTCCCTCACTGCAGGGAGGGAAAAGGAGGGGAGGAGAAGAACCCCGGGCCCAAAATCCACCCGAGGGGAGGAGAAGAACCCCGGGCCCCGAAATCCACCCGAGGGGAGGAACAGAACCCCAGGCCCCAAAATCCACCCGAGGGGAGGAAAAGAACCCCGGGCCCAAAATCCACCCGAGGGGAGGAAAAGAACCCTGGCCCCAAAATCCACCCGAGGGGAGGAGAAGAACCCTGGCCCCAAAATCCACCCGAGGGGAGGAACAGAACCCCAGGCCCAAAATCCACCCGAGGGGAGGAACAGAACCCCGGGCCCCAAAATCCACCCGAGGGGAGGAAAAGAACCCCGGCCCCGAAATCCACCCGAGGGGAGGAAAAGAACCCCAGGCCCAAAATCCACCCGAGGGGAGGAAAAGAACCCCGGACCCCAAAATCCACCCGAGGGGAGGAGAAGAACCCCGGGCCCAAAATCCACCCGAGGGGAGGAGAAGAACCCCGGCCCCGAAATCCACCCGAGGGGAGGAACAGAACCCCAGGCCCAAAATCCACCCGAGGGGAGGAACAGAACCCCGGGCCCCAAAATCCACCCGAGGGGAGGAGAAGAACCCTGGCCCTGAAATCCACCCCCAGAGCCAGGCAGGAGCACCCACGCTGCCCCTAAAGCTCTGGGATGCCCTGGGACAACCCCGGGAATATTTGGAATGCTCTGGCAAATCCCAGGGGTGGTTTTGGGACTCCCCAGGGATCATTTGGGACACCCCAGGGGCAGTTTTGGGATGCCCCAGGGATGGTTCTGGCACACCACAGGGGCGGTTTTGGGACTCCCCAGGGATTATTTGGGACACCCCAGGGGCGGTTCTGGGATGCCCGAGCCCAGGCTCGTGTCCCACTTGCCCATTATGGCCCTGGGCTGGATCCCTGGGGCAGATCCCTGGGCTGGATTCCTGGGCTGGATCCCAGTCGGATTCCCCGGGCAGATCCCCCAGAAGATCCCTGGGCTGGATCCCCTGGTGGATCCCAGTCAGATCCCAGTCGGATCCTGGGCTGGTTTCCCCGGGTGGATATCCCTGGGCTGGATCCCCTGGCGGATCCCGGTCAGATCCCGGGTGGATCCCGATCAGATCCTGGGTGGATCCTGGTCAGATCCCCAGTTGGATCCCAGTCGGATCCTGGTCAGATCCCGGGCGAATCCCAGTCCAATCCCAGTCGGATCCTGGTCAGATCCAGGGCGGATCCCAGTCCGATCCCAGTCAGATCCCGGTCAGATCCCGGGCGGATCCCAGTCAGATCCCGGGCGGATCCCAGTC